CTTACTCTTGTATATAAAAGAAATAGACCATTATTCTACAAATTTGAATAACTGATGATGCGAAAATGAGAGTTACAAATACGAATCATAAATTTATTTCTGAAATAAAGACATTGGAGAACCGCAAGTACTATTTTTGCAAGCTAAAGTTACTTTGAGTATGGATTTCTTGGTAAATTTAATTTTATTGCGATATTGGCTTTATAATTATCCTACACTTGCCATCGGCGAGATATCACTGATTCTTTTTTTAAAGTATATTAAATCATTTTGTGAGAATTATTACTCTACTCTAATGAACCACGACTTTGAATTGTATTCTATGCGAGAAAACATATAAAATAAATGGAAGGGGAAACATTTCGTCACTTAAAAAGGCAATATAAATAAGGAAAACATTATAAATTCGTATCTGTCGACGTTAAATTATACATAAGGTATACACGAGTATTTGTTTTTAAAACTTTGAAAGATAAGATTTTGCATATAAATTACTACATAATAATAACCAACATCAATGAATCATTTTAATATCAGTCTTTGAGAACTGTCTGTACTAGTTGTTCAGTGGCACTAGGTCTACAATACGTGTATATGGAGAGGCGTTTCAATTCGTAGTACGGTAAGAAGAACTTTTCAACATTAATATTAGATACGAAGATTAATGTTAGTAGAGTATATACCACAAAAAATAATATCGTTCCTGTGTCACTGCCTCTCAGAACACCCTCTTTTACATCCACTCGCCGCTGTATTTAAACGACACGCCACAGCCGCGGAAAGTCGTTTGCGAAATTCCCAGGCGAAACTCAACCGCTCGCATTCACAACACGCAGTTATTCGATTCCGCCCGCTCCCGCCCGCCTCCGCCCGCCCTGGCCCCCAGGCCGGTCGCGCAAGTCCAACCGAGACCCGCGCGGCGTGGCGGGGCGGAGCGTCCGGCCCACCGTTTACTTGCTCTCATGCGACGCGTATTCGATTTTATGGAATAAGACAGTTGCCAAAACTGAACCCACCCGCGACAGTGCCCCGTTATAATCCCAAGCGGGCGAGGACGTCGTCCGCGGCTGCGGGGAGCGGAAAGGGGGCGGGCGGGGCGCCGGGAGCCGCTGCAGCAAGTTCGGCGGCCGCCCTCCTATTGTTTTTGAAATCTGAATTGTCGAAACCGTGGCTCGCCAAGCTGGTGGGTGGCGCGGGCGGGGAGGCGACCGAGGGATCGCCTGGGGACGGGTAGCTGGGGCCGGCGGGAGGCGGGGCGCCCGCCGCCTGGAAATATTAAGGCCACTTATCATAATTCGGGAGCGTGTCTAGCCTAGGGACGGAGAGTCCCTGCAGCGAGAGAGCCGGGCCGCGGGGAGACGGAGCTAAGACTATGGGAGGAGAGGGATTGCACCAAGGGGGAGGTGGGGGTGGGGGGAGGACGCGGAGAAGTCGCTGCAGTCGCGTCGCGGCGGCGGTCTGGGCAGGCGGCTTCTGCTTGACCGGAGCGCGCGCAGGTCGTGCGTGAACCACTGCGGTGGGGGCGGAGACGGCCCCGCCCACTTTCCTCCTGCCCCCGCGCGACCCCGCACAGTGGGGACCCAGAACAGCGAGGGTCGTATTAGCAGCCCAGTGCCAATGAAAACAGACCCTATGGTAGGTCTTTCCCAGTTTTTCTTCATAAATTCAAACATTAAGTTTTTATTGTTTGATATAAAACATTGGTTTTGTAAATCAAAATGAAGAATACCTTTTAAAACTTCAGAGATAGATATATTTTTATCCATCTACCTAGGAATAGGCTAGAAGTTCCAGTATCAGTGTTTAGGACAGGGGTCGCCAATCTTTTAAGCGACTAAGCTATCTTACTGCAAACTATTCATCAAAGCGGGAAAGTAATACAAGTTTTTGTTTAAATAACGCATTTGTTTATTACCTATAAATATACATTTTTAATTTATACTAAATGTAATTAAATGCAATATAATGCGCAGTGACTGACACTTGACAGACGCGCGCGCATAGTGGAGATGGGTAGTGCAGATTTGCCAACACAAACGCTGCGTCTGAAAAATCCCCGCGAGCTACCAAAAATTTCCCTGCAAGCTACAAGTAGTTCGCGAGGCTGGTTTAGGATTCATAATGCCTTTCTTGACCAAGTGTTTGTCAGTCAACACTAACAGGATATTTTTTAAAAAGTCCAAACAGTTGCCATGCGTTATAGCTTCGCAGAAACTCCCAACTTCGCTTACAGATAGCGAGCATAAACACAGTAAAATCTTGTTCTGTTTACTGTCGATGTAGAGAGCAGTTGCGCATATCGAGCAACACAGATAATGTTGAGCAAGTGCTTCGAACAAAATTCTTGGCCTTCTGTGTTCCAGGGGAATGGAACGCAAGTATAGAAATGATCAACACATTAATGACCTTACCTCAGCTTAAAAACTGATTATATTTTAACACAAACTTTCAGAAAACATGGCCTCAGCTGTTTTATAGCGACGTTAAATAAAAATATGAAAATGTTGCAAAAAACGATTGTAATACACATATAAGTTCCTGATATCTCAGTTTTTCAATTTACAACCATTTCTTATCAATATAGTACAATTCATTCAGGGGTCCGTCTTTGCTACCTAGTGTTTTCCGGGAACTGGTGGCCTCATAAATGGGCCATATAACGCCCGTGCTCTTTTCTTCCTCATCAATGTCCTCTCCTCTCCACCTACACTTGAACTACAGACATGCACGCACACACACACGCTAAACACTAACACGAATCTCCGCGTTGGGCGACGGTGCCTCGCTCTTTTTAAATCTCGCGATAAGAAGGACCTCTCCTGCCCCCATGACATTGGCAAAAGGTGAAGCGCACACGAGACCAAGATAGAGTTCGTGTTTTGAGGAGAAAAGTCTGGGAGTGGCTAAGTGAATTCTCAGTTCAATATTAGGTGAATGCTGGAAGAGTACCCTAGGAACAGTCAATGTACCGCACACGATATTTCCTTCCTCATCCTTGTTCCTACACATATATACACATCCTTACGTACATCAGACTACCATATATATTGGGGCAATATCTTAGAGCTTGTCTTGGCTGAGACGGTGCTCCGCTGGAAAGAAATACGTGAAGAGGATCATTCCGCAATCTGACGTGTTGGTCAACAATGAAGTTCACATTCCAGCTGAGGAAGATCACCCCATCCTCCCTGAATAAAGCATGCACTGCACTTACGGGGTCTTAGTAATCAACGTCCCGGAATCAATACTTATTCATACTAGTGAAGGTGGCCCAGGGCATCAAGTGATTCCACCGCAGTCCCTCTGATCGAGAGGCTCTAGGGTTCGAGTGCCGACAGTAATTTACGACACTATCTAGGTCGAATTCAGCTGCTGTCTGGATCAGAAGATTCTAGCGGATGATTGCTATGATCGGTAGTTTTTTGTGGGTCTTTCGAACAACAACAGTCGAATGCCGGAGCAGTACCCTAACAAACATGCCACGAAACTCGCGCGATCTTCCCTTCTTCTTCCTAGTACTTTTCTCATCCCTTACTTACACACCACACTCGCATGCACTACACTACCACACTTGTTGAGAGATCAGGCGGGAGCTTACAGCTTGTCCCGGCTGAAACGGTATCCCACTGGCGTGAGATACCTGGTTGGGAAAAGTTCCACGCATCGAAGTAGTTCGGCGCCAAATCTCGCCAGCCTGCGAAGATGATCATCTCCACCTCCCACTAGTGTAATGGGACAAATGTCCTTAGCAGTTGACGCGCCAGAAATCACTAATCAATACGAAATACTCTTTCGCTCACCCACAACACGCTCACTGTCAGTCACCGAGCTGTCATCCAGCAATCGTCACCCCTCGTGCTTCTTGCGGTCTGCGACTCCTTCGTCTTTGCCCCCCCCCCCGCGCGGTTCCCCACCTCCCATGATAAAACATCCACTACACTTACGGACTAATGGCGTTGACGCGCCCGAAATATCTAATCAATCAATCAAATACTCACTCATTACGTGCACACTGTCAGTCCAAAAAACTCTCATCCTGTAAACGTCACCCATCCACTACACTTGCAGGATCTTAATAATCTTAGTAATCGATCCGGAATCAACACACATTCGCTCCTCATGACGTGCACATCAAGTCGCCAGGCTGTCATCCCGTGAACGCCCCCCTCGCGCTCCTTGCGGTCTGCGACGCTTTCGCCCTCACCCGCCCGGCCCCTCCCGTCGCCCCGCGTGCAATATTTCCTCCGAGGAGCAGGCGGCGCACCTCCCCCCTCCCTGCGCCCCGCCCCACCGCCGAGGCGGAATACGTTATGCGCAAGTGGGCGGACTTCCGCGGCTAAGCTGTTGCTTCGGCGCGACGCGCAGGATTACAAGTTGATAACGCTGCCGCAACAGACTAATCTATTCATGAGAAAATGTATGAGATTTGAGCGGAGGCTATATGTAGCAGGTGTACAGATTGTTGTGTAAGGCCGTTTTGATTAATACATGTTTGCTTATGCGCAAAAATGAATAGCAACTTTTTTTCTGTAAAATCGGAGAATTATCTGTCATTTGCACATAATGTGATTTTGTTGAAATCAAAACATTGTTTACTACTATTTTCTCAATTCAAATTACATCTAATAATATATCCCACGAAGTCCAATAACTCTTCTCTACTTGCTCTTTTTCTCTAACCACATAAAGCAATGATTTGAAAACATAATACCGTATCGTTTTGCTGAATACATTTCTGAATTTTCGAAAAAACAGGGTAGTAGCAAGAAAGTTCTAACAAAGAATATGTGGAAAAATTAAAGAATTTACTTCTACTTCAAAACGATTAAGAGGACACAATAAATTAAAAGGTTGGTATAGATGAAACCAATCAAAAATTCAAACCCGAATTGGAGGCCTTTGGAAGAACTAAATACGTGTCAGTCGTAAATACGTAGCATTTATACAGTGTACAACCATCGATATCAAAACATCTCGACGATAGTAACAACGTATCTTACCTTATGGAACCCCAAAACCGGAAGTCACAGTTGGTCTGCAACAGAAAACAAAAACTTTTGTTACTAAAAATACCAAAATAACACAACACGTGCGCACTAATAATGAAATGAAAAAGTTCAAATCTAAATCGAAAAAAAAAGAATAATTTAAAAACAAATATATCATTGCCAATTTATCATGGCATTTGTGCAGAAATGAAAATATTATTTCAAAATTCGAATTAGCGAGAACTGGACAAAGAATCAAATAAAATATCTAGAGAGTAATAGTGATATATGAACGGATAATTGAATAAAGAAACTAATAAACTAGGTTTCTTAATAATTATCTTTCTTTATGATACTTGAGATAAATATTTTTGATGGGTGAGTTGTGATACAATTTGAATGATGAAGGAGCAATAGTGAAATGAGAGGAAGGGATAAAGAACCCGAAGACATCTGTCGTGAAACCGCTTGAAACAATTGCACGTGAATGGTCAGGGTCTAGAATACTGGAACCGACCAGAAGTTGAGTGGCCTGACGAAGTAAATTAAGTTTTAAATTATTGAAAAAAATGTTAATAAATGAATGAGTCCGAAAATTAATGGAAAAAAATTGTGAATGATGTCTGCAGGGAATAGAAAGTTGGTTAACCGAAGTTAAAGAGGAGGCAATAAGTGACGGATTATCCTGACAGAAAATCACCTATTTCCGCTACACGACTACAATACTTAATCATTACTTACTACTTACACAGTAAGGCGAGAAAGTAAAAATCAGGACAAAGGAAAGTAAAGAAGTTGGCTACGGAATGTGGAAAAAGTTGGATGGGGACAAACGCACTCGTATACGAACATTTACCATCAGCGCAATATACGAACTCCAGACATGCTGTGACAACCAAGATCGAGTTCCACAGAACAATTACAAACGAATGAATGTGCATTGAACGAAGAAGGAAGCGAAAGAATAAAGATTACAAAAGAAGTAAATGATTACGTACATGAATTAGAAAGTAAATAATAAATATATAATATAGATTTGAGTGAATGAATGAATGTGTGATTGGCAGACTGTGCTAGGGAATTAACGGAAGAAAAACTTGTGAACGACAACCAGATGGAAACAAAAACGAAGGCTGAACCAAAGGGGTTTAATGAAGGCCGCAACAAGCGGCGGCGCGCTCGGCCAAACAAAAGCGTCCCGGCGCAAACACGTCTGCCAGCAGGCGGCTGGCGGGCGGAGGGTCGCTCGCAAGTCGGCGGGGCACGCGTCGCGTCGTGCGGCGTCGCGTCGCGTCGTGTCGCGCCGAGGCGGAGCCGAAGGAGCACCAGCCGGCGGCGGCGGCGCGGCGGCCAGGGCACGGCAGAAAAAACCACTACCCGGGGAACTTGTCAAGCTGACGAGACAAAAGGCGAACAAAAAGAAGGTCGGATGTCAGCGGCAGGCTCGCGACTCCTCGCCGCCGCCGCCGCCGCCGCCGCCGCCGCCGCCTTGGGCTCCCAAGCCCGCCCTCCCCACCACGCCCCCTCTCGCCAACTCCGCGTCCCGCACACGCCCTCACCCACGCTCTGCACTCGGGGCTGCCTCCCAACCGCCCCCCTCCCCGCTTCCTCTGCCGCTCACGGGGACCATCCATGCGTCTTGGGCTGCTCGGAGCTCCTGCTGGGTATGTGCGGCTGTTAAACGCAGTCCGGACACCCAAAAAATAAAATAAAATAAAATAAAAACATGCTCCCCTAAATTGACAGCAGCTAACAAAAGCCTTGTCGTATACGAATGTCATTCCGCTACACCGGGCACACCAATGGAAGGATAACACGGGACCCAAAATAAATTGCAATAATATTTTATGAAAAATGTATTGGAGTATGTAATACGTGTATATAACGATAATGATCTGGTAGTATGTATTATAATATTTACACCTCTTTCGGCATAGAAAAACTACATGCATTTTGAACTATTTCTGTACTCGAGAACAAGTTCAACATTTACAATGTCCTTCGGATTTGCGCAAGCTTTTATGTACATCAATAGATACTTAAATACAATTGTAACGTGTTTTGGAGCAGATCTGTCTTTAAGAAAACATAGGAGATTCCACGAAATGATTACGCATGATCACAATTTCGATTTTTCCCCTAAATGCCCGATAAATGTTGGAACGAAAAACTTACACTAAGAATTAACAAAACTTCTAATTATTATTACCACAAAATATGTATGTAATATTTTAAATAATATTTATATAATAGTATTTCTTAAAATAAAATTCCTAAATGATGAAACTATTAATTCTTACTTAAAGGTAACGAAAAAAACTACACTGTCCCATTAGTAAGAGACTGTTAATATGATGATAATGATGTTGACAATAGTGATGATGATGATGATGATGATGAATGTTACACCTATTCTCAAGAATAAGCAATTGAGAAATCTTATGAACTAATTGGCCGAAAATTTGATTAAAATCCACAGCAAACTATCATTAGTGTAGCCGGCCGCTAGCTGGCCGCTAGTATTGCAGATAGCGGCTGAATTCAACCTAGCTAGTGTCATAAATCCTGCCACTATCGAGACAGGAACCCTAGAACATCCCGGTCAGAGGCACTGCAGTGACATCAGTTTATGTTCTGAACCACTTAAGGAGGTGAATGATAAACGCACGAAGGCGTGGAACATGCGGTACTCAAGAGGTGCGGAGCGTAAGACAACTACACTGTTCCGAGATGTAGAGCAGAAGCACACACTCTCGGAGGAAGGCCTATTGCGTGCGGTTTTTAGCATCACTTATGACGTTGTCTATACTACCGCGCGATACTTCATTTTCATATATTTAAAATAAAATGAATTAAAAATGGTTTTTGTTCATGTAACTTCCATACAAAGTTTGGACAATTTAAGAAAGCATGAGCCTGCCAACGTGGTGGGCCGGGTGAGCCAAGACCGTGTACTGACTCAGCGCTTTGGTCAGCACCGTCTTGGGTTCGAGACCTGCCTTGGGCATGTTTGTTTGCCCCTTGCCTCTCATGTACGTGTTGTCGCGGAGGGCCTTGCGTTCTGCTGACCCCAAATCAGGGGAGTCGGAAAGTGTGCTGATTTCTGCTGTACTCGTCCCATCGGAACGTAAAGGATAACTGGCTGTCGACTGAAAAGAAACCTATGAAAAAAATGAATCTATCAAGCGGCCTGACGGGTTTGTAGAGGGATGAAAACCAGAAAATCGTTTGGCCTAGCCGCCGCTCCAGCACTTTGTAAGTTAAGGTCACATAAACACACATATGTTGATGCAAGTTAGATAACTGTATAGTCGTTGCTAAGAACTAAAAACACTAAAGATGTCAGTGGAAGTCACGCCTTGAACGAACATTAATTCACTCACTAATGAAGGACAAGGAGTAGGAATTACAAAGCTGAAAAAAACGTGAGTATTGTGGGATGTCGATGTTTATCGTACACTTCTAGACGTCTGACTCACTAAAATTTTCCTATAAAACCCAACAGTCGTTTCCACGTTCGATGCAAACTCTTCAACCCAACCGCCAACCAGCACCGCCGAGACGTCACAGGCCCCTCTCGTGCTTTCGAGGCATGACGAACAACTCCTGTTACCGGTGCTCCTCCTCCGTCCACCTCTCCTCGGCTTCCCCCTCCTCTCCTCTCCGCTCTTCTCCGCTCTCGCGGCTCGTAACGGAAGACGCCCCGTTAAATCGAGGGGCAAATCGAAGATACCGGAAGACGAATGAGCCGCGGGGGCGAGGTGAAGGCGAGGGGCGTGGCAGGAGGGGGGGGGGCAAAGCGGGGAGGTCAAAACGAGGACGCGCGCCGCCAGGTGAACTGCTACCTTGCAGCTGGGAAGAAACTGTTCTCTTAACTTGCGCTTGCCAAATTTGGAAGAGAAGGCAAATGTGAAAACTAAGAACTGTTTCTAAAGAAAATAGTTATATAGGTATCGTGGTGAAATTCAAGTATGTAGAGTGACCCATACAAGCTGGGGGGGGGGGATGCTCATGGAGCTTCAATCACTTAGAGATCAATGATGCGTATTAAGAAATATAGCTTTTATTGCGTTTCAATAGCAACGAAAGTCATTGAAAACATCATTTATTTACGTTATAAATAATTTACGGTTTATATTCATCGTAAATGAAAAATCTTGTATACGGAAACAAGTCAGCTGGACCCTAGCCTCCACCCTCTCTCGAGGAAACAGCTTGAAAAGAGAAATATCAACCTCTTTACATGTAGAAGAAGTGATATATTCGTCAACTAACGAACATAGATTAATTTGTACGGAAGAATAATTTGCTTGTAAGTTGCAGGATTCGAACGGGTCGAAGAGGCTCTAGCTTCCTTCCCAAGTACCACTGTTCTTTTTTTTATTAATTTAACTTAATTTATTTAAATAACAACTTGACCTTTTGAAATGAATACCATTTTTTAAAATCTTAACAAAGCATTCGTTTAAAGAAATTCAAAATCATTTATGACGGGGCTGGGCTCCATACAAAAATACCCCTCCCACTCTTGTCAAAAGTACAATCAAGATCCGCACAATCAAGTTCCAACGGGCAAGGTACGGCCTTCTCGAAGGGAGTTCCGTTGAGTGGTAGTACCTGCGCTTTAAATTAGCAAAGGTGAGTGTTCACGATGATTATCTATTTCTGATAAAGAAAATTTACATTTGATGTGGGTAGAAGAAATGGGCGACGAATTCATTGGTAGCGAGGAGAAGAGATGCAAGGTAGAGGGGTGGAAGGGAGGGGCAGGGAAAAACTTTTCACAGTTCTATTGATAGATTGATGTTTCCGGGCACGTGATTTGCTATGGTCATTAGTCCCGCTATTGTAGTGAATGTTTTATCGCAGAAGGTGGTGAATTTCCTCCCCGCCTGAAAATGATATCCGACGCCGCCCTACACAGCGGCTTCCGGGAAATCTCACATTATTAGTATTTCATCTAGAGGGTCCCGCCCTCTGCCGGGACAAACCAACAGGAGGATAGGTGGAGTTGGATAAGCTTTAAGCTCCCTCGCTGCACAGACTT